CACTCACAAAATATCATTCACGTCTTCGTTTTTCTTTACCAGCTGGACATTTTACCGAATAGAAGAGAAAATGGATGATTGAGAGCAGAGGGAATGCAAAGTTACTAGTTGCCGAGGTTAATGTAACGTCGGTTCGGACAAAGTCAGTTTTGCAGATACAGCCAAAATTGTCGTGTAGACGCTGACTATACGACATTGTCCTTGGACCTTGCTTTAGTTGCCAAGCCGAATCCGACTGTTCCTCGTTGCTCTTGGAGATCCAACCGATGTTGTCATAGCGAAGATCTGAGGCGGGTGGAGGAGAGTGGCGCAAAGATCTTTGATCGAGGAACTGACTCGGTTGTACCATGAAGCTTTAGCCTTGGCCCTTTGGTTCTCTGAGAGCCAAAAGTCGGCACATTTCACGAAAGGTCAAGACGGGGTTTTGCTCCGATAGTGTGTTGCGAAGCGGGCTAGTCAGTCGTCGTCCCGAGGAAGTTAATTTAGCCAGAATGTTTTGCTACTAAATATTTTGCAAAATGGCAAAATCGGCTTTTCATTAATGTCCGACGTCTTTATTGGTTTTGGCTCCGGGACTGGAGTCTGGTAAATCGGATGGTAGGGTCGAGAATGGGTTGCGAGAAGGTAGTCGTTGGTCGACAGTGGGCAAGAGGCAAGCCTAAACATGACGAGTTAAGGCGTCTGAGCGCGAGTGGAGAACTTTGTTGCAGAGGCGTGCTCCTTTAAATGGTACATTTGGTTTCATTTGACTATGCTTATTAATCGTGTTCTCTAGAGGGGTCCGAATCTGAATAACTGAAATCCCTTCCACATAACTTCGCCCGCAATGCCGATTGAAAACTTGACCATGCACTTGGGGTTTGAGGATATCCGGTCGTGACATCCCTTTATGGTGGAGTTGGATTGAGTCATTAAAGAGGGCCCTCGAATTGCTTCTTAAATGGATAGCCCCAAAAGCTGCACGGTTGTGCATAATTTTTCTTTTTGCAAAGTTACCTCAGGTTCATTCACTTCTATCTTCTTTGTTTTTTGTATTCTCAAAAATCCTAACCTGTCCGCTCGACCGAACTGTCGTACTCCCTGCTCCTATGGGGTACGCAAAAAACACAATTCGGACCCATTTTTTGATGTATAAGAGTGAACTTCGTCACTCCATTCTTTATATAACGTTACACAAAACGGGATAAGACCTTGTCCCCCACCCAAACTATTGTATTCCGTTATTTGCATACATTTTCGCTCTCGCGACAGGAAGCGAAACGACGAATTTTCCAGTTTATGTGACTGATGGCCAAATTGCAGAGTTCACAAAAGACAGTATAATTATTTTGCTTCATCTCATTTTTATATGTTTGGATGCTGCATAAATTCAAGAATTTGTGCGCAAGACGATTGGAGCCTGCCAGAACTTGGATAAGCAGGCACTTATGAGTGATGCAGAAGCCGATGCTGTCTCTAGATCTGCCCCGATTATCTCCAACTCCCCTCTTAGGGAAACCATTTAGAGCAACACAAGGCTCGAGGATGGGCAATTCAGCCATCTTCTACTTGTGTAACAGTGAATTTGACTTTATTTCATTATTCGGATCAACGTAAAAGTTGTCTTTCTTTCAGCCTTTTTCCCGATCTATAGTCTGACTCTTGAGTATATTTGGGTTATGAAATTATAATCAACATACATTATTGGCGACTTTGTTTAGCAAAATGGTGACGTTATTGAGTTTCCATTTTTTGCCATTAAATATTTCGATTCTTATCAAAAGTTTTCAATGATGTCTTGTAACTTGGTCTCCAAATAAATCTACGCATTGGTCTCCAACCCCGAAGGATCATCGCCGATTTTTCATCTTATCGTGACAGACGTCTTCAAAGCGAGCAAATATTCTTTAACCAATTTCACCAAATATTGTATCAAGAATCATAGCTCAAAAGATACTGTCCCACGGGCACAAATTCGATAATAATCTGACCTGAAGAGGGTCCGAATATTTTCGTAACTAATAC